CCTAGATATTTAATATATTCAACAGACTCAAATGAGAAAGGCAGGAACAGCTGTTATCCCTTGTTAAACAATCATATGAATGAATCACTAAGTTAAAATTTTCAAGGTTGCGAATAGGTTTTCTTAATGAATAAACTATAAAGCCTATAAAGCCAATTAGTAACTGCATTTATACCTAATTGTGCAGACGAGAATACATCTTTCCACGTATCCGCAGCAAATATCAAAACAGTGTCATCTGCATATGAAATTATATGTCCCTGAGAGAGATTAAATTTTGTAAAATTATCAATATAAATAAGAAATAAGGTTGGGCCGAGTATACTTCCTTGTGGTACGCCGTGTGTTACTAGTAAATCATTGCTGGTAATATTATTTACACTAACGCATTGATATCTCTCAGAAAGATAACTTTTGAATAGTTTGAGTTGAGTGCCTCTGATACCGACATTTTCCAGTCTTTTTAATAGTATTTTTATTGACACGGTATCGAATGCTTTCGCCAAATCTAAGAAAACAGAAATACACTTTTTTCCACTGTCTAAATACGATGACAAAAAATTTGTAAGAGTATGAACGGCATGCTCCGTTGATTTGCCATGTCTAAAACCAAACTGCGTATTTGACAATAAATTATTTTTCTCCAGATATTTTGTAAGTCTATTATTTATAATTTTCTCTAAAATTTTGGATAAAGCAGGTAATATAGAGATGGATCTATAATTACTTAAACAGGTTTTTTCACCATCTTTAAAAATAGGTCGAATTACGGACTTCTTAAGATATCTAGGGAATACACCATCATTTAAACATTGATTAAATATACAAGTTAAAGGAGGTATTAACAAATATTTAAAATTTTTAATAAATTTATTCGAAATTCCATCCCAATCAACTGAACAGTCGGTTTTCAAATTGTCAATTAATTGTTCTACTTCACATCCGTGTAAGCAAATGAAAATAAAATTTGATTCTTCACCAATGTTAATATTAAAACTTTCACTGTTTTTATTTCCTACCTTAAAACTCTCTGCCAAACTTTTACCTACATTTACAAAATAATTATTAATAATGTTAACAGATACTTGCGGCGTGCTAGATATATTTAACAGTTCTCTGTTATACCCTTTCTTTTTCATGTTACCTATAATATCAGTAAGTACTTCCCATAGCTTCTTATTATTATTTTTAGCCATATTCACTCGCTCTTTTTCATAATTTCTCTTTACCTTTTTTAACAATGCGTTACAGTGATTACAATATCGTCGGTATATAATTTGATCACTTTCACTATCTGGAAATCGTCTAACTCTCTTATGTAGTTTATCACGGTGACGAATACATCTAAGAAGACCAGCCGTAATCCAAGGTTTAATGATCTTTTTTGTCTTGGCAACGTCACTAATTTAGTATTAACTTCATTTACTGTTTTTATTTTATTAACTAAGTATTCAAGAGAAGTATTTGGATCTTTAATATTATATATAGGTAAAAAGTCAATGTTTTGCATATCCGAATTAAGTTTATCGTGATCTATTTTTCTGATAGTAGTTGTATAAAACTGTTGACGTTGTTTATTTTTCATACATAAAATTACAGGTTTGTGATCAGTGATTGAAGTTTGAGGAACCATAGTAAGTGAAGGATTATTCGTTTTTAGCAGAACATGATCAATACACGAACCACTTGCGTCACGTGTTACTAGAGTATGAGTGGGTAGTAACCCATGGAATGCTGTCAGTTGTAAATACTTATCCTATTATAATTATGTTTTCATGTTTCGAATATTTCTGTAGTACACTATCCAAAAGGGAATAAAGTTTTCTACATTTTTATATGACGGTGACCTATATATTGAGATTATAACAATATCATTCAATGTTGTTATGATACAATTCCCTTCTTGAAAATGAGGCTCCTCAGGCGTGAACAAATGTTTTTCTTTTACATATATTACTAATCCGTCATTTTGGTTGTTATTAAAATTAGTGGAGCATAAATTATAACCAGTACGATTTTAGGTAAGTTGTCCTTATTAAGCAACCAGCATTCACTTAGTACAATGACATCAAAATCTATTTTTAATCTAGTCAGTAATACTTCAAAATCTGTAATATTGCAGTTAATACTTCGTATATTCTGCGTAGTAATTGTGAAGTTGGATTCACTAGGTGACAAATACTTATAACAATCTTCAACGTCACAGGCTATCGATCTTGATACCGTAAATGTATCTAAGTTAATAGCGAAGCTTAGAGCGTTATTATCGCCTTTTATTTATTACTTTAAATTTCTCTAACAAAGTCTCGTTATTAACCAAATAATATCTTTTATTCGATAAATTGATTGAAAAATGTAACTGTAAGTAGTATATATAAAATGAGTGAATATGATTTATTATAAAATGTAAGTGTGATTTAAAAGATGTAATTAAGGTGTATAATGTTTGATTTTTGTTTATGTACTGTGTGTAAATTGTGACTGTGTGTATTATAATGTATAGTGTTAGAATATACTTTATTCTTATTATGCTAGTTAAAAAGAAAAGAAAGAATGCGAAAATATCTAATCTAAAGGTTAAAACTAGTCATTCGGTCTTCCGTAGATTTTCTAGATCTGTTTCATTATTTATTCTAATTTGAGAAGAATTTTCATTCTTGCGTAAGTATACAATGCCTCTAGATGTCCAGCAGAATAAATATTTATGACTTTTTTGGAGAAAATTCTGGCCTGATAGAAAAGTTTTTGAGTATTTTGTATTAACGTCTCCGTGACATATATAGGGATGTTTTTTGTGAGTAATTTAGATGCGAAGTATTTAATTTCTCATTTTTTGGTTTTGATTTATTAAATTTTTTTACTTCATGTAACATCTTTTCTTTAATAATGACTGAATTAAATTCCACTATTATCGGTCCAGCCCCCGTCTTAGAATTAGTTCTATACACGTCTTTTATGTCCGAATCCCGCAAATTTACATTCAAACACTCCCCTAATTTTTTAACAGTGCTACATAGATTTTCTTTTGATTCTTCATTGTTTTTAGGTATGTTTCTTATTTCTATTCCCGAAAATCTAGACTTCCTTTCCATATTTTCTATTTTCTCTTGTAGTTGTATAATATATCTATTCTGCCTTTTCTCTGCCTCTAGAACGGATAGCCGTGATAGAAACTCATCATACTTGCTTGACATAGTATCGACGCTCTTCTTTAATTCATCGATCTGTTCTTTTATACTAGAAACTATAGTTTGTAAATCTTTGAAAAGCTTTGCTTGTTCATTCGTATAAACTGAAAACATTTCACTCGTATAAGACATAATGTTAGGATTCACTCCCTCATGTTTCCTTTTTTTACGCTCACTAACATTTAACGTAAGCGATGGAATATCAGGCGCCGATTCACTATGGAGTTTTGTCGTCCGTTCTATCGCGTCGATTGCGCGCGTCCGCGTAGTCTGCGATTGCGATGTATCATCAGAGCTCACAGGCACGGGCGAAGCGGGCGGCGGTGTACGGTTGATCGGCATTGTATAACCGGTTTTGAAATAAAAGACGCCTCGACGTTTAATTACCAGGACAATATGAGTTAGAAAGTGTGATCGCAGTATATTTGCGAACTTGTACCCCTAATGCAACCGTACAAGTAAAATATAACCGTCTCTCTTCTTATCGTTTAGCTAACGTGTGGTGTCTTATGCTGTGTCCTATGTATGGTGTATTTATTTGTTGATTGTAAATGTGATGGTTTTACTCACACGTATAATTTAGTTTGTGGAATAGTAATCACTGCTGCAGATGTCACTAGCACTTCGTAAACTGCCTCGGGCTTTATGCGCTCCTAATATTTTATCACTACTTTGTCACAGCATTTATTAGAAAATACAAGTAATAAAAATAAACTATAAACACGTCTTTACTCTTTGGAAGTCCGGGGGGAAGGGATAATAAGGATATAACCAACTATTATTTTCTACCAGCAACAATAAATAAATATCACTTTACTGCCAAATTAAGAAAAAACATGTTTAAATTGAAACTAAGTACTTAATTTTAATTATATTTAGGCAAACGGAGGTGACTCAGTTTTTGCTTACATGGAACTAAGATCCCATAAAGCACTCCTTCATCCCAAAGATGCAATCTCATTAAATTTTAGTATACAAAATCTACTATTGTGACTTAACTATGAAACTAAGTAAGACTTAGCGGTCAGCCGCCGTAGAGTCTTAAGTAAGACTTAGCGGTCAGCCGCCGTAGAGTCTACATTACCTGAAGATGCCTCGTGTAGAGGCGAAACACGTGTCGTATTATCGTCGATGGTGTGTCTTACCTAGAATAGTGGTGTTGGGAGTAGTGGTGCTGGGACTAGTGGTGACGGAGTTAGTGCATGCAATTGAGGGAGGGCGGGTGGTGCTCTTCAATCCAGGTAAGAAGGTTGCGAAGAAATTTATATTTTTATTTTTTATTATAATGGATTTCCGCAAAGTAACGCCTGATTCTATCAATTAATTTACAAAAATGCAACTTTATGCGATGATTGCTAATTAGAAGATACTATATGTATTGAAGATTACACTGTGAAGTGGGTTTAAGATTTTATGTGAACATTTTTATGGTGTGAAATTATTTGTCATACAACTAACTCAAAAACAATGCTATGAAAATACTCAGTGGCATGGAAACGACTAGTGATAAATCTCAAATCTACCAGATAAAAACAAAAAGCAAGAACAATCAGTTGCTCAAAAATTTCAAAACAAATCAATGATTTTATAAGAAAACCTGAAAAACTAAAACAAAAAAAATCATAAGAGAATTATTTGCAAATTATATTTTGAACTTAATGTCATATATTTAAAACATAAATTAATAAACACTGTGTTATCAAGAAATCTATCAAAAATGTTCTTGCCAGAAACATCTCCAACTTACTAACATTTTTAATACTATACACATATATTAAACAGGATAATTAGCATAGTCACTTTAATACTAACAGGGTCAGCAATAATGTGTGCATAGGCGACAAGGCGTTCATGCATCGTGTAGACATAGCCGCCACTCGCCAATTCTATCTGCAACAGAAAAGCAACATTTTGAAAGTAAGTTTTTAAGAGACAAACTGTGATATCTGATTTGTGTTTATTGGAGTCAGGTTAGTAGCTACTAGACTTTCTAATTGTCCAAGTGCTACCAGTTTGATTGCATACATATTGCAGTTCATTTGTATTCCAATTTGTTGTTAGTTTTTTTATTATTATGCACATTAAGCATGACAAAATCAAGAGTATTTAATGTTGGTAGGTATAGATTGTCGACTAACTCACTTCACTATGCTTCTACACTATGAAATTAAACACTACACTATTATTTCACTTTGACTACTTTATTTGAAACCATCCAACACCTATAAGGTATAGCAATATATAATATAATATGTTATTGTTTTTTGCACAGTTATTGCGTAATACAATTATATCTGTGGTGCCATCTATTATTGCTGTGAGCATATTTAACATTGACAACTGATATTGCACCTCTATGCTTATCTCTACATTTTTCTAAATACATGACAATAATATATCACAGTAATATTTACTAACAAAAATGTCTTAATTTTAGACATAACGCCCACCAAGACTTGTTCTTTTCCAAATTTAACAAAATTTCAAATATATCTAACTGTAATAAAATACTTATACAAATACAAAAACCGCCCACCATGAGGCACAATATGAACAAAAAAGGAATTATCTATAAAATTAGTTAAGCTTCTTAACAAATACAAAAAATTACTCTATGATTATTAACAAACCTTATAATTCTTAGGTAAATAACACAATTTATTACAAGGGCCATTATTTACCATCCTTAGTTTTTACGGATACAATTCTTGTGATGTTATCTGCTCCAGGATGCTTTTCAATGACCTTTCAAAGCAACCATTTGGCTGTCTTTTATTATTACCACATCACCAATCTCAGGTTCAATCTTCCTTGTATTCCATTTATATCTTTGTTTCACCGTGACTAAATACTCTTCTGACCATCTTTTCCAAAAGTCGTTTACCATTTTTTGATTGAATTTGCATCTTTGTAGTCCAGTCATCGGTACATTTGAGTAGCTTTCTTCTGGTACTACAATCAAGGCTTCACCCACCAGAAAGTGACCTGGGGTTAGTGGTAAATGGATCCTCTGGATTGTCACTTATATAGAAAAGGGGACGTGAATTTAAGCATGCCTCGATTTGTGCTAGAACTGTAGAAAGTTCTTCGAAAGTTAGCTTTGAATCACCTATTACCCCGTTTCAGATGTGACTTCATGCAACTCCCGCTTTCCATAGGCCTCCAAAATTAGGAGAATGTGAAGGTATGAAATGCCACGCTGTTCCTTCAACATTTTCTAAAAATAAATCATGGGGGCAATAAATGTAAATTGATTTATTGCCCCCGAAACTCCCTGCAGACAAAATTTTATGAAAATCGTTGGAGCCGTTTCCGAGATTCCGATTATATATATATATATATATATATATATATATATATATATATATATATATATATCATCCTTTCACGGTAAATGTTGATCCAGTGAGAAGTTAGAACAATTGTTGATCCACCTATTTGGCGTGTTTGCTCAGCTCCTCGTCGCACAAACTGATATACTTTGATCCATTCTTGATGCGCGTGTGACGTCGGTGGATCTGCACTATCAGAATTTCAATATACTCGTCAGCGATTTGACCAACATTTGTTGATCTACCAACGGTCGAAAATATCATACTGAATATGATTTTTAGATCCAGAGTATATTTAATTTATATGCGACATTTACTAAGACTAAGTGGATCCAGAGCCATAATTGACGAATAGGTACTCGAACACGAAGCGGCAACGTCGCGTTCTGTGCATGACAGAGAACCCAGTAGGCTACTTCTTTATAGTAATAAGGTAAGAAAATACGTTATCTGCTGATTTTGTGGATCAAACTTTGGCAGGTTTTATTGTGGAAAGATGTTTGTTCGAGTTTTTGTTATCGTGTGAGTGAATTTGTGTTATTTTATTCATTTGTCATAGATCAATTAGAAGATGATGGATAGTACTTTATTACAAATTAATTTGTCACGCGCGCGCGTGCGTGCGTGCGTGTGCGTGTGCGCGTGCGTGTGCGTGCGTGCGTGCGTGCGTGCGTGCGTGCGCGTGCGTGTGCGTGTGTGTGTGTAAGGGTAAGAGGTGCCATTTAGTTCGCGCGCGTGTGTTTGCGTGTGTTTGTGTGTATGTATGTATGTGTGTGTGTGTGTGTGTGTGTGTGTGTGTGTGTGTGTGTTGTGTGTGTATTTATGCGAGTTTGTGTGTGCGCGTGCGTGTGGATGCATGTGCGGTCATCTGTGTTCGTGTGAACGCATGTGCGTGCGCGTGTGTGTGAGTGTATGTGTGCGTGTGTGCACTGTTGTGTTTTTAGTACGTGTGTGTGCGTTAGTATGTGTGCGAGCGCACGTGCACGTACGTGTGTGTGGTAGTGTGTGCGGGCGTGTGTTAACTGTTTTTCGCGCGCGCGCTCTGTGTGTGTGTGTGTGTGTGTGTGTGTGTGTGTGTATGTGTGCGGTTGTGCGTGTGTTTGCTTTTGTGTGTGGGTACGAGTGTGTGCGTGTGTGCGTGCGTGTGTCCACGGTTGTTTTGTACTTGTGTATGTGCTTGTGCGTGTATGTGTGTTCGTCCTTGCGCGCGCGTGTGTGTGAGTGTATGTGCGGGTGTGTGTGTGTGTGTGTGTGTGTGTGCTAGCGCGCGCGCGTATGTGTATGTGTGCGCGCGCGCGCGTGTATATATGTGTGCGCGCGTGTGTGTTTGTATGTGTGTGTGTGTGTGTGTGTGTGTGTGTGTTTGTGGTCTGTGTTTGTGTGTGTGTATGTATGTGTGTGTGTGTGTGTGTGTGTGTGTGTGTGTGTATGTGTGTGTGTGTGTGTATGTGTGTATGTATGTGTGTGTGTGTGTGTGTGTGTGTGTGTGTGTGTGTGTGTAGGTGTGCGTGTGTGTGTGTCTGTATTTATGTGAGTGCGCGAGAGAGCCCGTGTGTGTGTATGCGCGTGCGTGTGAGAGAGAGACACACACACACACACACATACACAGACACACTCACGCACGCAAACACGCACTCAGACGAATACCTTATGTCGCCGTTGCCACCACTTCCGCTACAAGAAGGGGCGTTCTCGAGTAATTCGTTAAAAAAAGTTGTTTATTTCGACCACAAGGATCATAGATGTTAGTAACAATACAAATCTTAAAACTAATTTTCGTAAAACCTAAAACTATTTACCTAATTTTAAAACTATATATAAGACAGGCCCGATTAGCCAGCACGTGCACCATATGACAATGGTTCAGGTATTGACCTCAAACCTGTCAGAAAACGCCCTCAGGATACCATTGGAACTGGCCCGCACCCTGCACACCAGGGATGTGCATCGTTTACGCATGGTGGTGTAGAAACAATCCACACGCGCATCCGCGAACATACCCGGCGCATTACAATAACCAGGAAGACCAAACAGCACCCTGAATGCATTACATAACACGCATTTAATCTGTAGCTGGTACCGCCAAAGATACGAAACGGCAACGTCGCGGCTGCATTCAGCCAATCCGATCGTTTATCTTATCGTTTGCTGTGCTCTGATTGGCTCATTTAAATCGGATCAACATTTTCCGTAACCATCACAAGGTGGATTTGTATATCGGATCAACTTCGGCCAACGCTAGCAAACAGTCTCGTGAGTGCAGATGTTCGGTCGGAGCCACATTAGTTACCAGAGATTCATATTGGTTCAACAAAAGGCGCCGGATCAACATGCGTTTTCGGATCAACAAAGTGCTCGCGTTATATATATATATATATATATATATATACAAGAATTGCTCGTTTAAAGGTATAGGAAGCGGAAAAAGCTTAGCTACTACGGAACTAAACCGTAGGACCGACGACCGCGCCACTATTTTTATTTTTTACAAACGTAAATTAAGAGTTTTTTGAATGTTTTAATGTTCGAAATAATAAAGATAAGTTATCTCTACTGCCAGGAATGTATAAAAACATTGTAAGGTATGTTTTACCACACATATAAAGAAAGAAAGGGGTATGAAAGTGAACGCAAGTAAGACGAAGGTTATGGTTTTTGAAAGAGAAGAAAGTAAAACGATTTGTGAAATAAGAATAGAAGGGGAGTTGATCGAGCAAGTAGATGAATTTGTATATTTGGGCTGCGTAATTAGCAGGGATGGGAGATATGGTAAGGATATAGAACGGCGAGTGAATACGGGAAATAAATGGGGCCCTGCACTCTATTGTGAAGAGTCAAAATGTGTCGAAAAAGGCACGTATGGCAATTCACAATGCTGTGTTGGTCCCTACTTTAACGTATGGTAGTGAAAGTTGGGTGTGGCAGAAAAAACACGAGAGTAGAATCAACGCAGTAGAAATGCGGTCGTTAAGGAGTATGTTAGGGCTGAATGTGAACGACAGGGTAAGAAATTGTGTAATAAGAGAAGAGTGTGGTTTGCAAGATGATGTTGTGACCAGGATTAAGAAAGGAATGCTTCGGTGATTTGGTCATGTGGAAAGAATGAATGAGGAAAGAGTGACAAAGAAAATTTATGTTGCAGAAGTGAATGGCAGAGTCGGAAAGGGACGTCCTAGGCGAAAATTTATCGACCAAATTGGCGATTTATTGAAAACGGGCCAAATTAGGAGTAACCGACGAGCATGTATGCGTAGGTGTATGGATGTGAAGGAGGTGAGAGAGGTGTGTCAGGATCGTGCCAAATGGAAGTCTGTAGTCTCTGCCTACCCCTCTGGGTGACAGGCGTGAGTGTTTTATATATATATATATATATATATATATATATATATATATATATATATATATATATATATATATATATATATATTAAAGAAATTTGTAAATTTCCTTTAGAAAAGGTCGTTCTGCGCTCTGATTGGTCGACGGGAATCATTAGTGCCGTGTGCAAATTTTATTAATTCTGATTGGTCACAGCTGCCTATAAAAAAGAGGCGTTTT